GTTTGGGCTTGTCCGCAAGAAGTTGTTTAACCACATTGTCTGCAAGCACGTCGGCGTTCTTGACTTTCTCCAACTGCGAAATCAGGATAGGCTTAAGCTTATCACAGCGAGCCTGGAAATTCCCAGTGTCATGTGATGCCCTGGGCAACTCAAGGGCCAAACGCATGCCGTTGTAAACGGCAAGGTTCTCCTCGACTCTCTCGATGTTTTCAAAGCCAGTGGACGCGTCGTCCTTGAAATTTCCTCGGGACCAGGCTGCATCAAGCTTCTGAGAGTAGCTACGGACTAAGCCTATCTGGGTCTCATCGATTTTCGCACAGGCGGCACTGAGTTCCAAAAGCGTGCCGATGACGAAAGGCTGGTGTTTGGGGTCATCCTCAAGGTTTCGAACGGAGTGTTCATCGGCATCCATCAGGCTAGCTGCCTCCCTCGCTAATTTCAGAGCTTTGACGGTTTGGGCTCCCTCGAAATCCGCTTTCGCCGCTGTCTTGTGAAGTTCAAAGAACAGACGGCGAGCAATGTTCCTGTTGCTGAGAGTCAAGCCGGTGCGATGGGACTGCTTGGCACACTCGATAATGGTTGAGAGCTTGCCAGCCGCGCTGGTTTTGCGAATGATGAACTCCCACCGGTCGCTGTTGATGGCATAGTTTGACATCCGGAGTCCACTGAGGTACGGAAAAAGGTTGCTGTAGTTCTTGGTCGCGACCATCAACTTGAGGACCCCGAGAGCGTCTTTCTTCGATGGCAGATCATGGTGCTTCTTGGGCGTTAGGGTGAACTCTTCGGTCTCGCCAATCTTCACGGTAATCGGCTCGTTTTCCAATTGTTTGGCGTATTTCTCTCTGAACACGCTCTTTCTCTGTCGCTTGGGAAGAGCGAGGGGTATGAAGAGTTCATTGCGGAACCGCTCCAGGGCTTCGTCTAACTCGGGGGAGGATGTTGAGGTGAAGGTTGGGATTACTGTTCCGGGCGCCTCCGATGAGAATTTGACACCACGATAGATTGGTTATTAATACATACCTGAGTTCGAACCATAGCTACGGGCCTGCATCGGTCTGAGAATAGACTGGCGCACCGAGCCGGTGGTGCTTTGGCGGAAGAGCCTGCTCATGGCGATTTGCGCCATCATGTGTGATCAGAGGCTATATATGAAGCTATGCAGGGTATGAGAGTAGCAGCTGATAAAATGATAAACTTCTCTCAAAGTAAGAACAAGAAAACGAGGTGGATCGGTATCGTAGAATCGGAGGAGAAAAAAGAATCGCTGTTATCTGCAACCCGAACGGGCAATTGAAGGCTTGGCGGAAATTCTGCCGATCCGGCCAAAACTCGACTCCGACTTTCTTGACTTGACATCCTCATCACAACCATGGCGGCTCTACCAGCAATGCGCCCGCTGGGCTGCTTAAGGTCCTTGCTGCGGGCCTTGGAGCCTATCCAACCCTTCATGAACCGTCGATTCATTTCGACGGCCTATTCGAAGAGGCCCGAACGGGTACCTCTTCCCCCAAACATGCCTGAGCAATTCCTATCCCAAATACCTCTTCGCTTTCGTCCGGATCCTGGTAGGTCCTTTCCAATCGAGTAAAATGACGCGAGCTGTACTAATGGTCGCTATCTCTTGTAGAGCGTGAGCCCCTCAAGATCTACCCTGCTCCGCCATCTGCTCGCAAAGCATGCAAGGACCCCATTGCAGCAGTTACCGAATCGCAATTGGCAGTCCTCGATCCTACCGGTGAGCGCAAGGCCATGTTCGACTACCGACGAAACCCGCGCAGTGTCAAGACGGGCGATATCGTACGAGTGACATTCAAGAACGGCGACCCATTCAACGGAATTGTTCTGAGTATCAAGTTGCGCGGAATTGAAACGTCGTTCCTTCTGCGAAACGAGCTTACTCGCGTCGCTGTTGAGATGTCGATCAAGGTCTTCAGTCCCAACGTGAACAGCGTGGAGATTGTCCAGCGATCGGAGAAGAAGCGCAGAAGGGCGAGATTGTACTTCTTGAGAGACCGCAAGCACGACCGTCGCAGCGTGGAGAATGTTGTGGCCAACTATGTTCGCCAGAAGAAGGCTTTCTTGGGTGGCGGCAATCGCCGGCAGTGATTGAGTTAGAGGGCGTCCGGCGTGACCCTCATTTGCATACATGTGGCTGTATTACTACCTATCATTTTGTACTTCATCTGTGTTATAAATTGCGATATCAAACAACTTGGAGCTTTTCTGTTCTAGCGCCTATGCCACCTCAAAACACTCGCCGCTGCCCGACTCTTCAACGCTCTAGCCGGCAATTTTCTTTCTGTTCTCAACCGCTTATTGGATACTGACTTCGATTTCTGCCCTGAACAAGGAATGAAATTCGCTGTCTGAGTTAGATATAAATCCCATACAAGAAATGCGTTCTAATGCATGGAGAGCTCATATTAGACGCCGAGAGTCTTTTAGGGTTGTCATCAGAACATATTCTTCCAAGATTCTTTATCATGTCACCAGCAATGTGATAAAAGCAATGCGTACGACAGTCGTGTCATCCGAGAAGACATCTAAATAGACTACTAAAAGCTCAACTAGCAGCCAAATATCTCTACATAAAGTTGGAAATTTATTGATGAAATATACACAAATTCATTACCAAATGTTCCGGCAGTTCAAGTTTCAAGTACGCTATAAAGAATGCTATTTTGGGATTGATACGCTCAGGAAGACAATTCCAAGGTATTGTCCTTGCTGATACGGCCTCGTTCAGGAAGAGTGACGGTACCACCGACAACAGCAGGGCCAGAGACGGTGATCTAGACGTGAATGTTAGTTCTATATGAAAGCGGCGAAATTGGACTTGACGTACCTGTCCCTCTTCTGTGCCGTAAGGGGAGTCTTCAGAGATATTGGTCATAGTAATCTCAGTGCTACTCAGCGGGGCGCCAAAGTGGCTAGGGCCGGGGAGGCATCTATAGTCAAAGGCGTTTGTTTGCGCAATCGCACCAGCAACACCGGGACCGGTCAAGGCATACACAAGCCGAGCCCCAGTGAAGATTCTAAGGTCGGTCAATTGCTCAGAGGTAAGATGAACAGCAGGGTCGCCATCAATACGGTGGGAGATGCAAAGCAAGCGCAATTCATCTAGCGAAAGCTCAGATGTCGGACTGACACGAGCCAATTGGCTGAAAACGTTGCGCGTCGGCATGTTTCCTGCATCTAAAGTCCGTGCCTGAAGCCAGCGTCCAAGAGAGGAAATGATACCAGTGTGCGGGCGCATGATATTGTCGTGGTACTCAGCCATGGTTTGAGATGAGGCAATAATGACTGTGGGAGACACCCCAGCTGTAGCCAAAGCGAAATCGACATCCTCTCCAGCAACAGAGTTGAGGGCGATGGATGAGTTGGCAAACAGTGCAGCCATAGTTATGCAGAGAGGGTAGGTGCGAGAAAGAGAGTCGATAGGAAGAACAATGTCGGTTGGGTTGAAACGCTGAGTACGAGGGAGGGCGGAGGTTAATGCTCCGATGGCAGACACCAAGTTCTAGTTGAATGTCAGTGAAAGTGATATCACACAAGTTGACAAGTTGGGCTGGTCTTACCTCTGGCTGGAAATCGATAAATTGGCCGGATTGTGAGGAAGACGGCCAAACAGTGTGGACGGCAGGGGTTGCTGTCTTTGGGTCGTACTGAGGCACATCATAGCTAGCGATTTCCTTGAACTCCTCGACTAGTTCATGCCAAACTGCAACCTTCAGAGTATCTTCGACGTTCTCAGGGAGTGCGTTCCAATCCATGTGTTGATTGCCATACTTGGCAACCCAAAGGACGAGCGTCAATTGAGTGTTACCCTTGGCGACGAGAGAAAGGTCCAGAGATCCGGCTTCAGCAATAAGGACATCCGCTTTTACCTGTTGAAGATGTGCTGATAATGTCTCGGCTGGGAGGTTGTGCGGCACAATGACCGTCTCGTATCCATAGAATGCACCACCTATATTGCGCAAGGTTAGACATCGAGACTCACATCTAGGATGATAAGACACGCACCAAAGATTGTAGCTAAAAGCTCGATAGAGTCTGTAAGGCAAACAGCCACCGTTTTCGCGCCGGAAGTTTGGAGATGATGACCGATGACATTGATTTCTTGCGTCACCTCGTCCAAAGAGTGCTCGACGGCCTTTCGACCCAAGACTGTGTAAATCTTGCCTTGCTTTCCCGAAAGAGTACCATCCTCATTCAGAGCTCCACGCACAGCGGTCTTCCAAATATCGCGCAGGTCTCCTCTTCGACCGCCGGTCCATTTCGGGGCGCCCGGGTCCTTGACGTTCAGTCCGAAGCGAAGAGGTAAGCCATATGGGGTTTCTAGGCACCTATAAGTAGCAGATTCACCCTGCTTGCGGATTGGGGCTGCTGTCGATTGGCGAGCAAGTAGGAACGGATGCACATCTGGATCCCGAGATGAGACGACAGAGTAAACCGCAAAAGCGAGGACAATCCCGGCGACAATGGTAGTGTAGATATTCCAGTCGGCGAGAACATCGGCCACCAAAGTATCCAGCTTCTCCACAAGTGAAGTATCAGCCATTTTAGTTGGTCAATATGGGGAGCAGAAGATGAAGAAGTGTCAACAGTCAGCAACTAGTTAGTTATGACGTTGAGGGGCACGACGATAAGGTGTGTCAGCTTGGCCGGGTCAACTTATGCCCGTGCAACCCCTTCCTTGAGCGCCGAGCGCAGCCACTTTGGGATCGTCAATTTATAGCCAAACAACAACAATAATGACTTTTTGAAAGAAGAATTGTTCATTGCTACGTGCACTACTAACTGACAGCTGCTTGTGTTTGCTCCCTTCTAGGTAAGTACTGAACTAGTTCATAATATCAGTGAGTCCAATCCCTCTTGTCAAAAAGACCTCGCAAAAAACAGTCTACGCATCTACGGATCAGTAGCTGACTTCACGACCCTAGTCTCCAGTCAAGTTCACCTCACTCTGCACTCTCGACATCATCTTCACCACGGTAGCAATGGCCACTCAATTTCTTCCTTCCACCCCGAAAGCGACACCTCCGCTGCCTCCTCCCACTCCAGAGGGTACCCTGACCCCTGGAAAATGGCGACACCCTCAACTGGAAGAGATCGTCCGGCGGCAAAATGCAGCTACATTTGATCAGAAAAATGTGAAGAAGCTCGTTTGGAACGGCGCAGCTTTGATACTGAGCTGGACATTTGGATCTACCTTCAAAAGCTAGTGAGTGCGATAAGAACTCTGATCCGTCGCGTCGCGTGCTAACGGTCTTGTTTAAGCTTACGCCAAATACTCGATACCAACCATATCTATCAAGAAATCCCGTTATTCATTCTCCAGCTCTTCTTCGTTTTCAATGTTATAGTGGCACTCTCTCCCCTCTTCCGGCCAAAGGACGACCTCTCCGACATTCCCCTTACCCCCACCCAGCGCTCACTTCTTGGTTTGGATCCTGCTGCCACACCACCAGCAACGCCTGGAACAGTATTTGTTACCCCACCCAGATACCGGCTTTCTTCACGCAAGGCCAGTCCTGCTAGCAGACAGCCCTCCCCAATTTCCGCGAATGCGAGCTTTTCTGAGCGTCGCTCTTCCATCAGCACACCCTTCTCACCTGTATCCAGCCCCCTGCTTTACAAAGCGATGTCGAATGGAGGCAGAGAATCTGTTCAACGCCAGAGCTTTGGATCCTCGTCCCCTCTGACTCGAAGTAACTCCTTTGGAGAGTCGACCATGAGCATGGGCCCAGGCACACCTTCCCCGCTTATGGGAAAACGAGGAAGTCTGGGGGTCAAGAACAAGTGGCTATATGAGAGGAGCCGCCGGCTTTCGGCTAGCGGAGGAGCCCCCTGATTCTTTCCAGCTTTCTGGACAAACTTGCGAACGGGCACTTGGGTCATTCATGGTTTTGGTGTTTAACGTGTTCAATGTCATAGCGGTTGCTTCATTCATAATGTATTTCAAGGATACCAATTCGCGCTTATTATTACAGGCTCGTTTCATTTGACGTACATTCGTGTTGTTCATAGAAACCGAAACCGGTGGCTGTTGGATATTTTTTCCGTCCTCCCTATGGATGCTAAAAGTGCCTTTTGATACATGGCAACAAATAGGTCAGAATAGGATAAGGAGATGTATATAAGATGAGGTATCATTCTGCTGTGATGTCTCATCATATGTACGGAGTACCGTCTACTGTAAACCGTACTGTTGGCATTCGGTCTATCTGCCATACCCCGTGTTCAAGCCAAGATCCCGCGCCCGGACGATTAGGACCGCCAACCACTTCTAGCACTCGGCAAATAAACAGGCAGAAAGCGCCCTCGCATCACTTACACTTCGACATTTACTGTGAAAATCCGCATGAAACCGAGAACGGCGTGACTACTAGCTCTTTCCTTTTGCTATGGGAGCTTCGGAGTCCAAGCTTGTCTTCAAACAGGGTATCTTCCGCCTCTCCGAGGAACAGGAGATCCCCGCAGACGACCCCTACTGGACCCGAGTACGTTCTGATACAAATTGACTGTATGTCCTGGAGACTTGGAGGCTAACCACGCTGGCAGTTCTGGGAACTTCCTGAATCAACCGAAGATGTCTTTAGCCTTTTCACACCGGCTGACATACGACGCACACGCGATCATGCCTTGCCCAACTTCAAAACTCTCATACTAGCAGTCGCGTCACGACTGACTGTATTGAGAAACCATCCCTCATTCCCTGACCCCGATCTTGCCCCCGAGCGTGAGGTCCTCAACTGCATTCGGATCCTCACTCGTCTCCTCCCCTATGTTTACGAGGCGGAGCATCTGGAGGAATGGGATGATAATGTATTCTGGACACGGAGAAGGAGAAGGACAAGACAATCACAGATTGCTGGGGAGGTACTCTTCGACGAAGCACAATCGGAGGGTAACCAAGAGGCGACATCACCGCGTGCGGAGGATTACGAAGATTTGAAGCCTCTTGCTGAGGAGTTGATAGACACATTGATGGACTTGCTCTTCTTTGCTGACTTCACAATCCCACGACTTCCAACTGCGAAGAGCAAGGTCTCTTTTTCAATTTGGCAGAGTGGTGTCGGCTGTAACACGGCTATGGGGTCTAACAAAACATTGGAGAGCAACCGATGCGAGATTCTGCGGCTTATGCTTACTCTGACTGGAAAGGCCATGTATTTGCCGTCTAGTGAGTTCATAGTCTGATACAACCAAGGTACTCTAACTTTTACTGACTGGTATAGATACATTGCCCGTTCAGGGTGTCAAGGCAATCACTTATATCACAACATGCCAAGATAAGCAGGCTGTCTTGACCCTCCTTTGCTCTCTTCTCAATACAGTATGTTATGTTCTGCTCAATCGGCGGTGGAGCTATGCTAATCCAAAACAGGCCATGAAGTATAACCCCGCGTCGTGGAGAGTCCCATATGACCACGTTGTTTGGAAAGATCCCAGGCAGATTTTGGTGATTTATTGCGTGCAACTTCTTCTTGTCCTTTTGATGTATCCTATTCCAGAAGATGGCCGTGGAACAACACCGAAGAATTATTATCGCCATTACTTCGGCAGGCTACATAGACCTCAAGACTTCCAATTCCTGGTGGATGGCATGACGAGAATTCTGAACCAGCCGGTATTTATTCTCTGCTTGCTCGTGTATTAAGAAGTTATGCTAACTGATCAAACTAGATGCAAGCTACCGCTTCGTATCTTCCTGGGAGTCAAAAATCGGTGAAATGGGCCCCTGAGATGTTGGTCCTTTTCTGGGAGACCTTGCAATGCAACAAAAGGTTCCGGTCATTTATCATCGACTCTAATCGCTCCCATGACTTCCTTGTTCTATGTATCTTCTATGCGATGGAATATAGAATGGATCCTTCCAAACAAGGAGTGGTCCGGATGTGCGTTTTCATCCTTCAGACAATGAGTGCGGAGTCGACATTTGCGAAGAGTCTGAACAACAGCTTCGAAGCTCAAGAGACATTACCACAATCGATCCGACTGCTCAAGTTCCGGGGGTCTTATGCCGACTATTTGATCATGGTTTGTCTTTTGTCCCATCTAAAAATAATACCATACTAACCGGCGCAGTCAATTCATACATTGATGACAACCGGCAAGGGGAACCTAGACACTGTGTATCCTCCACTTCTGATCATCCTCAACAACATCGCTCCCTATATCGAACATATTTCTCCAAGCGCCTGCTCGAAGGTCATTCAGCTTTTCTCTTCTATGTCTGCGCCCAGCTTCTTGTTGGCGAACGAATCCAATCATACTCTTCTTGCATCGTTGCTTGACTTCATTAACATTATCCTCGAGCACAAGTTCATCGGTAATTACCCTACCCAGATCTTCTCTTTCAGTCATAGCGTTTCTGACTTTATCTAGACAACTCATATCTTGTCTACTCGATACTGAAGTATAAGCAACGCTTTGAAGCCGTGCGGGCGTTCACTCTCGAGAGTGGCCAACAAGAGATCGAGCGGCAGAATGAGAAGAAGAAAGCTAGCAGTTCTTCAGATGTCGCCGTCAGCCCTACATTTTCGCAGTCAGAGGATGATCTACATACTCCTTCGGGTGCCCGGTCGCCGTTGACTAGGATCCCCGAAGAGAACAGCCCATTTGCAATTGGCGATGATGACTCCGATGATGAACGTGAAGATGGGGCACAGACTCCGTCTCAATCATCATTCTCAACTCATACCTCACGGAGACCCTCCATGGCATCCACCACGGACGAGAATGGAGTGCAGCAGGTGCGAGGAATGTCCGAAAAAGCACGGGGAAAGAAACCAGCTGGACATCCTCCATTCTCCCGGCAGAACAGCATGACCAGTCAAACAAGCATGTCTGCTTTATTCACCCCCTCTGCTAGTGGCTTTACACCAACCGTACCATGGGTAAGACCGAACCACCTTTCCAATAAATGTTCCGCTACTAACAATATTTACCAGCTCGAGTCTTGGTTGCCCGAGCTTCCATTGCATACAATCCTCACCATAATCTCGGCCATTGCACCTCATATACCCGATGCAGCGCTTGCCAGCGCAGCTAGTCCGGAGGCCCGTACACTAATCCACAATCTCCCATCATTTGCTGAAGAGCCTGGGGTTACAAGTATAATCTCCGAACCAACGCCGGTTCGCGTGCAATCATTCGAGTGGTCCGCACTTTCCATGGGCTGGTACGAATCGTTGCTGTGGGGCTTCATCTTCTCCAGCGAGATGGTAGTGGGTTCTGCTTCTGGTGCAACTCCAGGAACAGTTGGTGTCTGGAACGGGACAGCTATTAAACTCTTCAGAGTCCAAGAAGCTGCCGCTCAAGGCCCGACCTTGCTTGCGCCCAAGGGTGCAGTTGATGCTGTGGGCAGCAACCTGGTCCAACGTATCGGAAACCTCAGCCTTCGGGGTCGGAACTCACAAGACTCTGGAGCTGCCTCTTCGCCAAGTGTGCGGGAGGTTTAAGGCAATATTTCCGTGACGTGTATAGGTCTCTTTCATAATCAGACCTTTTCTTCTACAATCTCGCTGTCTTCCGCCCTCAAGTTCCATGGACGACGGTGCTGGTCTTGCGATTTCATTTTTTTAGCACCTTCTTAAATCAATGCCTGCCATTCATGCCAAATACCATATGTTACTATTCTCGGTTTCTTGTAGTCTCCCCAGTAAACAACCAGTGCGATCAGCTCTTAATTGGTGTCGCACTTTGATTGCCCTTTGGCTGTTCTTTTTCTAAGAGTCGAGAGAGCGACCATATGATAGATATAATCAGTCTCAAACGATCAACTCGATTTATTCTATATTAACTTGTAAAATGTTCGACCTCGATGTTATGGATACCCCTTGTGGAAACACGTGAGTCCGGGTTCCGATCGTCATCGCAATTTGCCTCTCCAATTCAGTCAATTGAATTCCACCTTCTTTCAACTCCAGCTCGATATATAAAGGCGGGTCAATTATTCGGGTGATCTTGTCATTAAATGCTCTCTGCCTTCATGTTATTCCTCTCTAGCGTTGTTGTGGCTCTCCTCGCGGGTCCGGATCCAGCTCTCGGGGCGATCACCTCTAGCCTACAGAGCATCTTAAAAAACACCCATGGCAGCCCAGACTATAGGTATCCCACTGATCTAACAAGAGATCTGTTACCCGTGAGTCTATCTGTGGCACCATGTATCGATAAACTCTCTGTGGAGTTTCCGCCATCTGGAATATTGTTAACCCTGGATGCAACGAATCTCTAGATTCCTGTTCATTCTCATAAGTAAGGATACTTCTCATGGTGCTCACTCCAGACTTTTTCATCCGCTGATTATCCCAAAGTGACTATTGGCGAGACGAGCCTTTCTATACCGGTATGCAGAGCTCTACTATCTAACTGATTATCCCTAACATTACCATGCACAGGTCTCTCACATGGCTGCACATCTACCGAAGCCGATGTCTGGTTATACAATGGCACCCTCTATGTGAGCTTAATTAACCGATGATGCCTTGCGCGCTCTTCTGGGTAGCATGCTAATTAGACAAGGTTGGTCACGATGAATCCGCCCTGACGGAGTCTCGAACTCTTGAATCCTTGTATATCAACCCAATTCTAGACGTGCTAGAGCGCCAGAACCCCGAGAGTCCATTTATATCATCGCCAACTAAAAAGTGAGTATCTGGCCAGGGCCCAATATGGTCTCACTGCTAATGCTTTCTTGAAACAGCGGTGTGTGGGATACCGTTCCCGACCAAACGCTTTACTTCTTCATTGATGTGAAAACATCCGGCCCCGAGACGTTCCAGGCGGTAATTGCTGCTTTAGAACCTCTAAGAGAGAAGGGCTACTTAACTACCGTCAAGGATGGCAAAACCGTTACCAATGGACCCGTCACCATCATTGGCACCGGAGAGACACCGTTCGATATGGTAGCGCCCATCAAAGACCGAGACTACTTTTTCGATGCGCCGCTGGCAGATCTCAATGATCCCAAATATGCCGATGTAACTGGCGTTATCTCGCCTGTTGCTTCGACGAATTTCCGGGAAGCCGTCGGCAAGATAACTGTCGATACAGATCCAATTCTCTCAGACGACCAACTCAAAGCTCTCCGGGACCAAATTTCCACCGCAAATGAGCGCGGGATTGGGGCTAGATATTGGAACACGCCACACTTCCCGATTCGTGCACGAAACCTTGTCTGGAGGACTCTTTTGAGAGAAGGAGTCATTCTGCTCAATGCCGATGATCTAGATGCTGTGGCTTCTTACTTCTAAGTGACATCCGGCCCCAAACATGGAATCAAGGTCCTATTGTCATTTATGTACCATTACATCGATGCCCCTTGCGTGGCTTTTTACGGAGACTTATGTTAATGACCCCGGTGGGATAATTTCCGGATTCTCCTTGATTCAAAGATAGACAGTATCGTCTCCTTTATCAATGTGATGTTCATGTGCCATAACCCTCCGTCTTCGCCCTTCCTACAATCTCAAGATAAAGCTCTCCGTCAACTCCTGCCGAATGGATACCATACCATGTCTCATTCACTTCGCAGGCATAGGCGACACTTGTGCGACGAATTCTTGACATCTACATGGTTGATTTGACGGCTGGTGCAGCGTTCATCCTCTTTTTTGACGTGTCGTGGGCATTTAACGAACTCGCCGCCTGTCGAGTGACCGCAGGCGTAACGGATCTGCAACTGAGTGCAGACTTCCTGTGTGTTGATGTCGGGCACTAGGGTGCATGATCAGTGGCTTTTCTGATTATGGTGAGGTGACACAAGTATAGACTTACCTGTGAAGTCCCCGGGGGGTTTGTAAGACATCTTGATAAGTACTCTCAGTGTGACCAGGTTGCAGCTCTGTTACACTTGAAGCCGGGCTTCTCATGTTCGATGACATATTAGTACAATTGGTCTGCTCGATGAAAGATTAATCTGATTAGTCTTGCTTACCTTCAGTGGTATGTTTGGTTCTGCTTGTGTCCACGAGTAGCAGAGTTTGGATTGAGTGAGGTTTGAGTCGTTTTTGAGAGAACAAGCGTGGGAAAAGGTTGGTAAAAGTGCAAGAGCGAGTGAAAGTGCAATAGCTGGTGAGAGCATAAGCGTTAACGTGTCAAATATCGCATATTCATTCATCGTAGTATAGCATGCTCGGCACCAAGCGTTATAGTCTATGCAATAAGCCTTTCACCACGTTCTTTCATTCAGGTCGTCTACCTAGCTTCAATCCCATTGCTAAAGCCTTTACTGCCTCACCACCACCTACGCAATTGGACTACCGCATCAAAGATGTCCAAATGTCTACATATCAATCTTCCTGGACTGGCGGTACAAATATGTTCCTGGCACGTGATCTTCAAGGGTGTGAAATCGAGCTCCGTCTTCAGCTCCTCTCTTCACCTTTTCCACGACTCTAATTGGACGAACAATAATGGCGGTAGATCTGGCAGATCTCTTGGCCAAGGCACTCCCCACGGGGGTTGAGATTACCGTTCGCCATGTCTCCTCAACACCCACTCCCTGCGAGGCTCTCTTTGCAGCTGCGCCGGGCCAGGTCTCCGAGCCGACATTCTGCGAAAATCATTTCCTCTCCGTGTCAATTGACGCCAATGATGACGGTGAAACAATTATCTTCGGAATGGAGGTGATGGTCTACAACACGGCCCACTTGACCACCATCTTCATCTCCAAGGCCGACTCGACTGGTCTCCTCCATCTCCTAAAATTACCGCGCAAGGTATCTGTTCTGAGATTGGTCTCAAATACATTTCTTTCATTTCTGGCGCGAACCCGCCAGCGGCCCGGTGTACGTCTGGTCGTGTCGCTGTTCGCCCGCGCCCAGAATCAGTACCTGTTCCCGGGCAGTATTGAGAACGCCGAAAAGCACGTTCTGGACGATCGAGGCTTAATCAAGTGGTGGTGTTGTGTTCTCGATCCGATCTTACGCGAGCATGAGCCAGAGTCTGCTCTGCAAGAGACGAAAGCGCTGGATCAAACAGTCGAAGCTGCCAAGGCCTCTGCCACCGCATACTTGATCGTTCCAAGCTGCGACCGCTTTGAAACACGCAATTTCTTTCCACCTACGGCCAAGACCGATGCACAGGATCGCCCACGGTGGCTCAACAGCTACCCACTGAAGCAATTGTACCACGACCCTTCGGCTCCTCCCCGCTGCTTAGTGCCTCGTTTCCCCGATGATCCCAAGACTCGTTTCCTCGTCGACCTAGACAGTGAACTTCCTGTATCGAAGGAAGGTGAGCCTGTCGCCCCCAATGCTGGACGCTGGCGCAGCGTACGGTCCTTGGATCAATTCTGGGAGATGATGTCCTTCCGCCAGGAATGTTCTGCTGGTCGGTTAGTCGGCTTTCTGTGGCTAGTCATCAATCCTCCTGGTCTGATGAACTCGACGTCAATGGAAAGTCAGACACGCGGTCCTTCTAACAACTCCACCATTTCGGGTGAGCTTATAGTGGAGAATGGCTCGAGCCAGTCCGAAGAAATTGCCACGTTGACGACCACAGATACCTCCCCAAAACTTCCCTGGGATGATTCATCTAACACTGCCAACCCTTTCGACTGGCCAGAGGCCGGACGCGGACAAGTCGTTCTCAGCGAGGCGGACTATAAAACGATGATGGATTCGGTTCTCGACCATTTCTATGACGAGAAAGAAGTCATCGCCAGTACCAAACTCTACGTCGACCAAGTTTCTTCTCTCGCGGATGAGCTTACGTGGGGCAAGAAGGTTGTCGGCACCAACACCACGAGCAGCACTACTCAGCCTGCCAATACCACCACCACCAACAACGTCCTTGATCTCGGATTGATCCGCAAGCGAAAAAAATCATTGGGCGAGGACAACATGTCCGTTGTGAATTCCCAAACACCAAGTGGATCGGGAGACACGCAACCTACTCCATCAGAGCCGACTAGTGTCAACGTGCTCAATGCGAGCTTGGTCCGGAAGAAGAAAAAAACTTGATTAAAGGGGAATTTGCATTGCGTCTGGTATCATGGAATAGGCCTTGGAGTTTGGGGGGAAATGGATCTTTTTGTCTTCATAATGACATTCGAAAATAATCTAATAGCAACTAATTGCCCAATTGCCCCAATTCAACTGTAGAAGTACGTTTCCTTACATCCGGGGGTTCCGAACAGACAAGCTATTTTGATATTTGACTCCGTATACTAGTGGAACGAGATGCCCGCTGGTTGGCCGTGTACCTGACTGTGAGGGCGGAGACAGCTAACTGCCGAAATGAGAATCCACCCGATCCAATTGCTTCTTTTCTCCTCCAAAATGTCCTTTTCGTTTGCTTCCATGTCGCTTTCCCTTCGTGTCCCATGCTAAAGCCTATCTTTTCGTTCCTCGCTCGCAGGTCTGACGATGGCGCGCTGTACGCGTCCGTCGCAATCGGTTGGATTGCCCTGATTTGGTATGCATTCATACTGGCGGTGTGCAGCCTAGGATATTTTCAGATGTACGATTCGGCCTGCTGTTTTTGAGCTACCATGTCCTAACGCAATTCCTTTCTGCTTAGATGGAAATATTTCCTCAGCCAGCCTTATCGGTCACGGCTAATGAACGCCTCCGATGTACCGCACGTCACCGCCATTCGGCCCGTCAAAGGCCTTGAGCCGCACCTCTATGACTGCCTTGCTGCCACATTTCGACAGTCCTACCCGCGCGACAAGCTCAGCATCCGTCTCTGCGTGGCGACGCGTGCAGACCCAGCCTATCCTACCCTCCGCAAACTAATTAGCGACTTCCCGCATGTTGACGCGCAGATTTTCGTCGAAGACGAGGATCCCCTCTTGCAGCAGGATGGCATCAATACGTACACGCTTGGACCGAATCCCAAGATCCGAAATATGAGCCGCGCATACAGAGAGGCGAAAGGAGATATCGTCTGGATAATTGACTGCAATGTCTGGGTCGGGAAGGGAGTCTGTGCCCGGATGGTGGACAGGCTGTGCGGGACTGGACCCTCATCGAGCAAGAAATACAAGTTTGTGCACCATCTACCTGTGGCAGTGGATGTGACAGGAGATAGCAACCTGCGTGAGGAGCGGCAGGCGCTCCTAGATGCCAACCCAGAAGCCACGGATGCTGATACAGCGGCCGCAGCGATGCCGTCCGTCCGTCCGGAGGATGGGCCTTCAGCCATGATCGCGACTGGAGGCGGTCGTTTAGAAGAGCTGTTCCTGTCCTCCGCGCACGCCAAAATGTACACCGCGATCAATACGGTTCTCGTTGCGCCGTGCATTGTGGGGAAATCTAACATGTTCCGCCGCTCCCACCTTGACTATCTTACCTGTCCCTCGGTGTCGGGTTCCCAGGCTCGCCATCCTGGCATCGATTTCTTCTCCGACAACATCTGTGAGGACCATCTGATCGGTGATCTACTGTGGAAGAAGCAGGTGCGGGAAGAGAAAGAGCTCCGCGAGCGTTGGGGCAAGCATGCCATGGTCTTTGGTGACATGGCTATTCAGCCTGTTGCCAACATGAGCGTGCCGGCATATATCGCCCGGCGTGTCCGGTGGCTGCGAGTCCGTAAATTCACCGTTCTTCTCGCTACTCTTGTCGAACCAGGCACTGAGTCGTTCCTATGCACACTCTATGGTGCCTGGGGCATCACCACTGCCTTGGCGCCGTATCTTGAGCGGAATGGCGTGCAATTTGCTGCCCGTCTTGGGACATGGCGTGCGTTTTTTGTTTTGTTCGCACTTGGCATATTCTTCTGGATCATGGTCGATTGGACACTATATATCATGCTGCATTCCGCAAAATGCATCGAGTTGGATGGGGATACCCCAGATTTCGCTCGGCCTCAACGCTACCGATCATCCCATATTACTCGTCGGCCATTCATGCAATGGCTCGCCGCCTGGCTCGGCCGCGAATTGCTGGCCCTGCCTATCTGGATCATGGCGGTGTATGGCGGTGTGACAGTCGTCTGGCGAGACCGGCGCTTCAAGGTCGGCTTCGATGCAAAAGTTCGGGAGATCGATCCCGCTACTCCACTACCTGTGGGGGTCTCGTCTTCCACCGGATCGGTGACGGGCAAGGTTCGCAGTGATTGAACGGATATGTAAATGAGAGCATACGAACATTCTGTATACTAGGGCAGCATTCTAACAGCCCTGCAGTATCTTTCAGTGTACTATTATGATAGAAATAATCAAAATGCATTAATATAGACACGAACAAACAACATATGCAAAGAATAGAAAGTACCCATATCACCGATTGCATGCGTGAAATCTTAAACTTTTCTTCAATCATTTCCAATTCCGCCTAAAAAGAACCAATGCCATTCCGACATCCTTGGCATAAATCAAGCAGATCCACTAGCCTCACCCTGAGTAGCCCCCTTCTCCAAACTAGCGCCACCATCCGAAGCCAGAAGCCACTCAACAACCTGTCTGCCCGCAGATACCTCACCAGAACCCTCAGCAGGCTTCTCCTCGCCCTCATTCTCACCAATAGTCATCTCAATCTCCTGAACCTGAGCATCATCGCCCTCAGCACCCTCGGTCTCCTCATCACCCTCAACAGTAGCCCACGCCGTCCGCTCAGCGAGGAACACAGCGTCGTGGCCAGCATCGTTCTTAACTTCAAGGTCAGCGCCGGCTTCGACAAGCGCCTTGACACATTCCAAGTGCGCGTTAAGCGCAGCCCAGTGAAGAGGCGTGTTGCCAGAGTTGTTGCGGTGGTTAACGAACGCAACACGCTGGGCTGCGTCTGCAGATGACAGCTTTTGGAGCAGAGTTTTGAGGATTTCTGAGCGGTGTTAGTAATAGTTATAAGTATGTATAAGTATAAGAGGTATAAGAGGCGGGATAAAGAGATGGGAATAGAAACAAAATATTTGACACGATATGTACCAAGCAAGTCAAGTCAAGTTGTTCAATTGACATACCGGAGTTTCCATTCGCAGCGGGGAAGTGCAGAATGCAGGATCCCGAGCCGCCCTCGCTCTCATCTGCCATGTCGATGGCGGATGCCACGATCTGGGACTCGTTGCAGCTGTGTTGGCTGGCTATATTGGCGATGTCCTCATTTAGGGCCTCGAGGTCGCCTGCTCGGGCGTCATAGATCAGATCGTCGACTGCCTCGGCGGAGAGTGCGATTGGCACTGAAGGCTTTGCCTGTGATGTCGTGGAGGCGGACATGATGTGTGATGAACCAGGATTTTGGTATTATGTCTTTTTTTTTTTCTTTCTTTTTTGGTGGGGTTGTTCTTGATATCCCACTTTATTTGATATAGCTGAAGTGAGGTGTCAGTAATAAGTCGGTTTTCATGGAAGATGACAAGACAATGGGCAAGGAAAACAAGGGTAGGATGTCTAGAATCATAAAGGACTCTTGGAATTGGGGATTTTGCATAGTACGCATCCTCCCCCGCGATACTTGCAATCAGGTCGTTGATAAGCGTTTCAATGTGAAGGCTAAGTTCCAGCCACAAAATGAGAGTCGGTGTTGAGGGTATGTTTCCAGTCATTTAACAGGGAATACATTCAATCTTACCTTTGCTTTCAGTTCTTTGCTTTCTAGCGTAGAGTATCCGGCGATAAATGAAGCGATCGCCGCAAAAAATAATTTGATATCGCGGGTCATGTGACTGATAGTGGGTTATCAGTCAACGGTACAATAGAGGTCGTCGAATTAACGTGGACGCCAGTCGCAACGCGTCGTATAATACGGATCTAAATTACTAGGAGAGCCTCATTACGAGACATTGGTTGTGTTGATACATGGTACGCTGTACAAATAACTTTGCTCAATCGTGGATAGACGACAGGAAGTTTGTCTGCCTCTATCCACATGCAAAACGCCGAGAAAAAAAGAATCAAACTAGCTCAAACGCCGGGTCTCACATCCGGTGAGATGGTATCAAAAAGCTCCGAAATTGCAATGCGACCGGTGGCAACGAGAGAATACATCGAATAACCCTCCCTTCCTCCTCCCAGAACTAAAACAAACAGCTAGCCACACACCATTAATCCCTGAGCCAAGCCCGCCTCTTCTCCTCCTTCTTTTCACGACGCTTCTCCTTGAACTGCTTCAATTCTTGCTTTGTTAGCTTCCTTGCACTGCGCTCGGCGCGCAAGCTCCGACCGTCATGGCTATTTGCCGCGGCATCAACGTCGAAGAAAGCGTTCATCTGTCTTCGAGACTTGTTCTCATCATTATGATTTTCCGGATTGATTGTTGCAGCTTGCCATCGTCCAGTAAAGCGGTTAAATGTGCCGGTAGCTGCATATGCTGCGGAGGGTTCGAATCCGGCTGCGTTCGCGGACTGTGCTGGCTCTTCGTGGTATTGTGCGTACGATGCGGTGGGGTCGTAATTGCCGTGGATGGCGGGATTGTAGCCACCAAGGATTGGCTCTTTTTTCGGGGCTGCGTCTTCTGTGCCGGGTGCTGCTGGGATTTCCGGGACTCCTGGGACCTGTGGCACGCGAGGGTTTTCCCACTGGGAGACTCTAGTGAAGCGGTTGTAAAAGTAATATGCCCCTGCAGTGGCGTCCCATGCAGGTTCCCATCCATCGTCCTCGGCCTTCGCAGGCGGAGCCTCGGCGGGAAGTGGAGGTGGGACTTCGTCGGGGAGTGGTGGTGCAGATGTCACTTCATCTTGCTCTGGTTCATCGGGTTGCGACTTGGATGCGGGGATCTCCAGTTCTTCGGTGGGTTGGGGGTCATTCTTTTCCGCCTGGTCTTTCTGACTGTCGATGTCATGCTTGGCTTCCGTCTCAAGGCCCGACGAAGCAGGGCTGGGCGAGCCACTGGCGCGCTCCTGTGGAACAGATTCGGAAACTTCTGGCGAGTCAGACATGCTGAGCAATAAAAGGAACGATACTTGCAGTCAGATAAACAATTGACAAAAGAGAAAGAGATCGGTGGATGCGATCTACCCAGTCGAAATAGAGGGTCCGTGCGGTCACTTAAACGTCACCGCCTGCCTAAATGATTCAATGTGTACGCTAATCCCGAATTGGATTAGCGTCTAAGTCGAGTCGAGGACTGCCCCTACATCCTCCACGACGGCGCTGTGTTTAACTTGATTGAATGGATCGCTTTTCTTTCGGATGAAGCTTAGATCATTACAATGCTGAAATACTTTGCAGTTCAGCTTTCTGTGCTCTTCAACGGACTGATTTCTAGATTTCGGATTTGCTACTGATTGGCTTCGAGATACAGTGCAGACTGCAGGACTGGCACTCAGACAATCATCTCAGCAGCACGATCTCAGGAGCATACTCTTCGAACATGCAAATATCTTGCTATCCGTGGTGCGCTATCTTCTCCACTCGATATAAGTTCCCTTTAGAGCTTCCCGCGGGCATACAAATAGTCAACAACAGATTTATGTGTGGACTTTGCCCAAGCTGTATTTGATATAATACAATTATCAAGAGAAAATGAAATGGTTACTTGTTAGGCAACTGTTGGTGGAATGCGCGAGCAGGAATGTATATTTAGTTTGCCCTGTTTTAGATCTCTTCCACTTATTTCAATGCCTCGTGGATTGAAACAATCGAACTATAGATACAGGCTTTGATATATCTAGGGAATCTGAAGGAAAACTGAACATTTTCACTTGAAACCGAATGCCCGTCACAAACCTACAATAGTACTAATAGAGTCATTCATAGTGGCATCTAGCCTAGCTCATTCATAACTAGGAAAGTGTTTAGAGACTCTAGGATACAAATTGCTCTAACCTGAACATGTCTTTCCAAACTGCTAAATAAATTGAAAGATGTAGCTCCTTGCATAATTCCCAACCCCTTGGGCTTGCGGGTGATTTTGAGCGAGCGAGCCCTATAGCTCGGGGATAGTTACCGACTGCTCTGATTGGTCTTTCGGGGCTTCTAGCACTGGAATGTTCCCCCTGCATTGATTCCCTGAACTACAGCGATGTGAGATCCCTGATTTCAGTGAAGCCAGCTGCTTCACGAGTATGAGCTCTCACCATTGAATTGATGGGGAATTCCTGTGCTGTTGTGGCTGACATTCCTTTCTACTTTCTGATTTTGTTGACAGTAGAGCCCGAGTAGAAGTAGTTCGTCCGAATATCTTATTTGAGGTTAAAAAGGACCATGTCCTGGCACTTTTGGAAGCTCTCCATCCAACATCCAATCGACAAACCTCGCCACGTTCTTTTTACACCCACGCCCAACTCGCGTCATTCACTCATTTTATTATATTATTTTAATTACTAGCTTCTACTAATATAGCTTTGCCCGTTATGAAGGGAATTGCTCTTCTTTCGCTTTTTAGCGCTGCACTAGCCCATCCGGCTGGCCTTGTGAGTATTTCCATTCTACAACTCAGAGTACAGATCTGACTTTGGATATCTTAGTGGTGGGGTACCGATGTCTGCTACACCAGTCCAGAGAATACCGACAATCAGTGCTCGGATGTTCAGCAGAAAGGCTTTGACCTGTCTGAGTTGGCAAACGGTGACAATTGGAGCTTTGAAGGCTTCCACTTCGTTGGGCTCGAGCCCAAGAATGGCTGTCATGGATCTAGTTACGGGGTAGGTCGCTCTTGAACATGCAAAATGCTATTGATTCTAACTACTTTAAGGGTACTTGTCTTGGGGGAAAGCTTTCTCGTGATGATGACTGGACAATCAAGATTTCCGCCGCCGACGCTCCATTCTCAATCCGAAACTTCCATCTTTCAACTTCCCGGAACACTGATATCTTCATCATCTATGAGATGCCTGATGGTTCTTCCTGTCACCACGTCACTTCGAGCTCGTACAAGGGAACCGATGTCGGCAATGACCAGTGTGGCGGTGCTGTTTCAGTCGAGTTCACGCTTCCCGAAGAGAGCAAGTTCGGTGATTGTGATCTCGAGATCCATTCAATCGACTTTGACTGCTCTACTGGGTCCAAGCCACCAGTTCCTGTCATTGAACCCCCTCACTCTCACTCTCACTCTCACTCTCACTCTCACTCTGAGCCTAGCCCGAGCTCGACTGTTTCTTTGCCTCCTTTCCATTGGACCTCATCCGTGCCGCATGTTCCTACGACTAGCAGCTCATTCCAGCATTGGACGACTTCCACGGTCTGGACTACCGAGGAGATCACCATCACTCAATGCCCACCAACCGTAACTAACTGTCCTGCTCATTCAACTGTTTTGATTACATCTACATATCCACTGTCAACCACAGTCTGCCCATCTACGCCCGTGCAGACGGTTCATTCGGACCCCCGAAGTCGACTGCTTCCTTGCCTCCTTTCCATTGGACCTCGTCTGTGCCGGAGGTTCCTACGACTAGCCATTCTTGGCACCATATGACGACTTCCACAGTCTGGACTACCGAGGAGATCATCGTCACTAAATGGGCATCAACTGCAACTGAATGCCCTAGTTCTTCAACCGTTCTTACTACCTCTACACATCCACTGTCAAGCACGCCCTGCTCGTCTACGCCCGTGCAAACGTCCACTAGCACAAGTTGCACCTCGTCTATGCCCGTGCAAACGTCCACTAGCACAAGTTGCACCTCGTCTACGCCCGTGCAAACCCCTAGCACAAGCTGCACAACATCTCATTTCGTCCATTCGCACACTACTCCAATTAGTACCCCAACCCCAATCGCGCCCAGCCCGCCCGCTGTTACTGCCCCTTGCCCCAACGTGGTCCCCAAGTGTCTCAACACATGGCTCTCCATTCCTAAGTGTGACTCCAACAGCGACGTGGGATGCTTCTGCCCATCCACCGAGTTTACGGACAAAGTTAGCGGGTGCATTCGGGCCTGGAGCACCTCCCAGACGGAGGAAGATTCCGCCCTTGCTTACTTCGCTGGTATTTGCGCCCCCTTCGTCCCGGAGAACCCTGCTATTGTAGACATCGCTACAACCTGCACTTCTCCCCTCGTTCCCAAGACCACTGCTGGCCCTCAAATCACTGGCAACACACGTACCTTTGTTGAGACTGTTGGTGTAGCCACGACTGTCCCTCAGACTCCTTGTACCACTATCAGCTGGGCCTTGCACACAGCAACTGTGCCGCTCGTTGGGTTCAGCACAGTCACTTGTTCCTCTACAACATCTGTGAATCTGGTGGTTGTTACTACGACCAGTACTCCTTCCAAGACCCATCACTATGCGCACGCGTCCTCCTCGAAGATGACAACTAGCTGCAAGCCCACCTCTTCTCTTCCGCCAACTGCCCCTGGGATCACTGTCTCCAAGCCTTCAGGATCCGAGCCAACTGAAACTGTCGCTTACGGAAATGTTGGATCGAAACTACCCTTGTGTAGTCTCTGGGCTTTTGGTATTTCCCTTCTGGCGCTTTTCATCTAATAATCTTCTTGTTCAATTTCTGAGAAACAGAACTTTAATTCATTTTGTCTGATTGTCATTTGTTCCATTGCATGTATTGAATGCAAAGCAATGCGAACTAGGGCTCGACCTGATCAAACTTGTTTTTTTTCTGGGGAATAATTATATACGACTCGTTTATTCTTGAAGAATATGATTTGGACGTAATTGAAAGTCAATCGCTAATATATAATATCAATGTCTTGATCTTTGTATAACTACCCCTACATGCTTAGCACATCTTGCCGTATTAGATTGGGTCAGTCCGATCACAGCCCGATATTCGGAAACTAACTAATATGTTCGAGGCCGAACTCAAAGGAGTACCATACGAGCTTGTCGAGGTAATTCTACGCGAAAATATCGGTAAGGTCATGTACATGGCCAAACTTTCCACTAAGCCAGGGCAAGATTCGCGGCATCGAAGCTGTAGGCTTACGCTGACCGAGACAATTGCAATTATAACCGTAAGTGCTGCATTGTGTGATCTGTCTGCATCATCACTATGCTAATTGTCGTCTACAGTACCTGTTCGAAATATCCAACAATGCCGGTCTCCTCGGGGATGGTTCGCTTGAGCATGAGTCTCAGGTACTTTCGATTATGAGCTGGGCTAATCAAGCAACCTCTTTCATTGTGGTATGGAATAAAACTTGTCACTGTATCTTTTCGATATCTAATAATTTTGTGTGGTAAACTCTTGCTGATATAGATAATGCACATTGAGTTGATTTATTGGTTTTTGAGTATGTAGCATGAGCTTGAATAGAGATATCAGCTAACGTATTTCACCACCGAGTGGGCCACCCATCCCAACCTACCAATTTTAAATGTAAATATCTCAACCAAAACGCCATTAAATTAATTCAACTAACTAATTTGTCTATCTAAACATTTTTCTCTTCTATGCCCTGGTAATCTGCATATTCCGCACCCCCCGGGGGGGGGGGGGCCGCGTACGTGGCTGAATAGCCGATTCTCCAGGTATGCCAGGGCCGGGGGAGGTGCTTCAGTTGCTTCCTGTTGCTATATAATTAATACAGATGCTTCTTGAACTGAGATGCCTTCTTCAGTAGGTATCTACCTTTAGGATTGAGTATGCTTTTGCTTCTGCTTCTCGTTGGCGGCACGTAATTCCTTATTTTCTTCGGCGAGTAAGATAGTACCTTGCATTATAAGACAGAAGCCTTTCATAAGCTGGTTTAATGTACGATCTGACGGGCTAGGTAGGCTTCGAGATCTTATACGAAGTAAAGCTTTAATTGATAAAGCCTATCGACGTAGGTCTTTCTCTATAAGAGGGGTTTTTAGGGTAAAATTCCGGCTTAATTCACTACCCCGGCTTAGAGGGGGGGTAGGCGTTTAAAGCTAGATATTTAGCTTCGAAAGTACCCGATTGGGTAAAAAGGGTACTAAACCAGCTAGTTCTCTAGAAGGCTATCGAACTAAGATTTAAGAAATGTTTTATCCCTAAAGATAATATATAGAGGTAGTACCTAACCTAAGGCATTTATATACTCAATTGTAGTTACCTACTCGCGATTTCTAGGCTATAAAAGCGATCGCCGACTATAGTATTTATATCTAGTTATAGCCTTTACTATTACAGTTAATCCTATAGTAAAACCTGTCTTATTGAAGTTATAAATATTATCTAGATCAATTCTATACTAAAGAATGGTTTTTTGAACTAGATCAAACTACTCTCTAATAATCCTTAGGTCTTCACATTTCGCGCGCTTATAATTATAATACTTCGAGAATCAGGAGGAAAGGAGAGGATGCCGTTTTATAAACTTTATAACCCAATTTTCGCTAACCGAAGGGACTGGGGTGGTTCCGCGTTAATAGAGGAGAAGATTCGCCATATCTTATACGAAAGAGGGCTGGGGGGCTGCTCCACGAGAATCCATAGAGAGTATCCATTTTTAAAGCGATTCCTCCTCACTTTCAGTTAACTTATGGTTGTTAGCGCGTGTTTCAGGACGAAAGGTATCACCGGCAAGGCGCCGTTGTAAGGTAGTACAAGGGATTTCGAAACGGCGCGCCACTTCACAAATTGAAGAGGTTTCTTGATTCTTAAAAGCCTGGATAGCTAGTAAAATCCTACCCTCTTGCTCTATTAAATTTCTAGAGCGTTGAGAGCGAATTGGTGGCATAGTGGGTGGTTGAAGAAGAAGGGTTTAAATTAATCGACGCCCACTCGGTGGTGAAATACGTTATGTGGCTGTGCTGAACTACACTTGCATTGATCGTACAGGAAGATACAGTGAAGATTCGTTCCGTGGCGCTATGTAAGGAGTACTCATTGTATGAAGATAGTGAGAAGTATATTCCCTCTAGCAGTGGGGATCTTGCATGCATAGCCCGCATACACAGTAAAAGTACTCTATACGAGAACACGGTCTTCCACAATGATAAGGCTCCTCAATACACATGCAATGGAAAAGAAATAATTGAATACGAATCTCCGGAGTAGCCGATAACGCATCTGGACCTAGTATTCACTCCGACTTCTCCGGATTCAAGGTTCTATCGAACATAGATCAATGCAAACTTCAAGATCCGAAACTTTAAGATATTTAGATCGATCTCACCAACTTCATCGATCAACAGGCTAGTTAAACCTATTTTTGTTCTAGCGGTCAGCAAATCCACTTATATTCGATCCTCACGCGAGACAAACTATACCTTGGATCCACCCTAGTCAATAAAAAATGGAGACCCAGCTAGCCATGAATTTGACAGAATCCACATGTTCCTAATATTCAGCATAATATCGTGTTATTGATCCGAATATACCGATCTGTTTCGGCTGGATCTGTAGAAAGAGTTGGGCTTCCATAAATAGACAGGAAAAGCCGAAGGCAGCATCGAATGATGAGTCGCTAAATCCTATAACTAGAAACTGGCATTATCTTTTCTGTCGATCCACTATGCTAGTACGTATGCCTTATGTTCTAAAGTTCAGCACCGATCAGGTCTATCGAAAAAAAAAAAGCGGGATATTGCTGGCTAACCCTGCTGAGATGCATAAAGTAGTTTCTCTCGGGTGGTTTATATACCCCTAAGTGTTCCCTTTTCGATAGTGAATATATTCAAACCCTTCATACAGAATAACTGCCCACTATGGAGAACGGATTACAGCAGCTTCTGCTGCAGCTACAGCAGGTAGATCCCGCCATGGAGGGTCTAGCACGTTCGGAGCTCTTCAAGCCAGCCCCACGCTCTTTAAGTCTGGAGGAATCTACCAGACTGAGTTACCAAAGGGCCAAGGCTTTTGCTAATGCATATGGTATTCCCTACTTATCTTCCGCCACTATATTCAACCACTAACTATAACAGGCCTGACGCTTAAGGATGTTTTATACCTCACTCCCAAATTCTGGAAGCTACACCGAGAGCCTCTAATAACACTTGATGGTGGAGCTTTTACCCTCCTTAGTATTCAGTGCAATTTATTTGTGGGCACGCTGGCTCCTTTTGCATTGGAACGTCCAGAGCTCCACCGGATCCTCCAATCCGCTTTGGATTTCGATATCTCGTGGGTCTATCCCTAAGCAAATCTTCGAAGATTTATAGCTAACGGGGCTGATATTCAGGGCACAATTCATGTTGACCGAAGTGAATCATGGATTAGATGCACGGAATATACAGACAACCGCAACTATTCTGCCTGATGGTGACATCGACCTTCATACTCCTTCCCCAAACGATGCAAAGTAAGCTGCGGAATATGAGCATCCAGTTCTGAAATTGTCTGACAGATAATCTCAGGGTCATGCCGCCAACCACTCCAAGGGGCGGTATTCCAGTTGTTGCAATTGTGATGGCTCGTCTTGTGAGTGGAGATAAAGACTGCGGAATCCGGCCATTCCTAGTCCAACTTGGAAACGGAAAAGAGATGTGTAAGGGTGTTATATCGAAGTGAGCCACAAGCACCCTTCCATACCTGAACTATAAGGGCTAATCTATAAAAAGGGCCTTGCCTCCACGAACTGGTGCGCATCCAGTCGATCATGCTCTCACATACTTTGATCACGTTCGCCTACCAAAATCTGCCTTACTTGGTAGCGTGGAAGGAACAGAAAACAAGCGCGAAGAGTTCTTATCCTCGATTCACCGTGTTGCAGTGGGCACTCTCTTCCTCTCCGGGTGTGTCATCCCATCACTCAAGCTCGCCGCATACAATGCCGCCTGTTTCAGCCAGAACAGGTTTGTTAGTGGCCAGGATGGAAGCCCGATGGCAGTGATTGATTTCCGGACTCAACATATGCCCATCCTCCATGCTATCGCCCAGTATAGTGTGCTAGAAGCATTCCTAGTTTCTGCAGCGATGGCGTTCCGAGAACAGAGCGTTGACCCCCGAGTGCGCCATGGTATAGCCACAGCTTTCAAGGCGATAGCACTGGGACATTTCAGCAAAAGCATCACCGCTATGAATGAGCGGTGTGGGTGGCATGGGCATTATGAGCATAATCAACTCCTTCAGATGGAGGTAAGATCTTAGTATTACTTACTCCTTTTACGGTTGACTAATTCAAATTTTAGCTGGAAATGCGCGGCGCATCGACTGCAGAGGGCGATATCCGCGTCCTCGCCATCCGTACGTGTCTGGAACTTGAAAATTATCGAGAAAGACTAACCGTGAAACACAGGACTCGCATCGGAACTATTACTCGGTCGATATCAAATGCCGCCACCGAACGATTCTACCAGCCCCATTGCTCGGCATGAGGCCTCTCTGTTCTCCGAAGCTAGGGATCTCCTTCAACAAGGTGCCAAGGGGATTCACCGAAGCGAGCGGTTCAACCGGAATATCCTTCCGCTCGCTCTTCCATTAATTGAGGCGATTGGTCACAGGATGGCCTATGAAGCTGCTATAGATGCCAGTATTAACCCGAGCTTGCTTAACCTTTATGAGAGCGGGGTTTTTAAGGAAGACTCTGCGTGGTATGTTGAACAAGGTGGACTTAGCAGAG